TTTTTAATAAATTTCATACCATTTTACTCAGATGTTTTTACTTCATAATAAATTTACTATTAAGCCTTACGCAATATGTGGAAAGTATACGGGACTCTAGAATTACTTCCGAAATGGCTAAGGGGACAATTAATATGAAATGTGCACACGGTCGTGCCCTTTGCCCTTCATAAAAGAGATTGTGACATGTAAACCTGTACTTTAAGCAATCGGGAGCGAATAATTTATACCAATAATACTTTTTTTTTTTTTCATATTTTTTGAGGTGGGTGGAAATCTTGGTAAGATACCAGTTCTTATGTCTGATATGTGGGATTCCCTCACCGCCGCTAAGATGGCTGTTGAGCCCACCACATGTGACACGCTCAACCGCAATCCCAGCCGGGACGAGAGCCTACCCACTAAAACCCCTCCGTCCTCTCAACTACGCTTGTGATCCGCGAGTGCAGTCCGGGATTCGCCCATACCATTAATACTGAACTCTTTTAAAATTGATCATTTATATTTCTTTTTGTTAGCCCTTTTGTGGCGACGTTCCTGTTTGGTATTTTATTCAGTTCCTCATCTTTTGGCTTATTTTATTTAACATGTTTAGATTTACTACTTTCTTTTGACGGGTGAAAAGAACTTCCGAATGAAGCATAGTCAGATTCTACAACTTGAATTCGGTTATTGTTTCCCACAGAAATATTCGTGTGCTCATAGTTTCTGTTATATCTATCTCTACATTATCTAATACTCGTCCAGTGGTTTTTTTCAATGCCGAAGTTATCATGGAAAGTGACATAAATAATTTTTTAAGTTAAACAGGATAGCTTCACAAATACTTTTTACTAGGCCTTTATACTTTTTTCCTTAGACCATAAAAACTGATAGACACGCCTTGTACCGAACCGTTGAAGCAAAGACCTTTCGCGAAAGTGACGTCACAACGCGGCAAGAGCCCGCTTGGATTCTTAGCAAAGCACTAATATAATTACCCAATTTTAGATTAATTTTAATATAACTTCAATATTTTGTAAAAAATATGGAAGATAAATTATTTAGCAAAGTAATTAATAAATATTTTTGCCTTAAATTGTAAAAATAAATGTTTTATTTGAAAGTACATACTTACATATATTATTATATATATCGTTGGTATATCACTTCTTGTTTAATATTCAAAAATAAATTTAAAGGAGAATAATTTTCTTTTGGGTGGAAGTTTCAGGTTAGGTAAAAAAATATGTAGTAAATCTATTTATTTATTGACCACAAAACAAAATAGCTTTAGTTAACTTACTTCTAACCCTTATTACATTATTCAGTTTTTCACCTTCGTGGTATAATCTAATGTTGCAATAATGGAAACAAATTATCTTTATTAGATTAAACAAATGGTTTGTTTTAAATTTATGATCAAAAATATGTTCTTCGTATTCGGTAAACACAGAACCATGCACGTTACTTATGACATGACATTTAAGATCAATGTTGTCATTATATTGGAATCGTTTAATTTTTTTGAATTGTACATAAATTTAATTTCGCTTTCAGCAATTTTGCAAATATGAATGACGTCTTTAGAAGGTTAAATTAAAAAATTGTTTGATATGCTATAATTTTTGTGTCTTATTAATGGAGATTGTAAATTATCACATTCAATTGCACACAAACATATGTCACAATCTAATGTTTTCTTAACGACAAGCCCAGCGATATAGTCAACAACATCACAAACATAAGATGACAATGACTTTTTGGCTGAACGTTTGGGCAGCTAATTTCACTTTCATTTTTTCCTTATACCAATTTAAATGCCATCGCGTTATCCCAGTTGCAATATGAACGCCTTCCTCTTCTTGAATGTCTACTAATTTTTGCAAATATTCTTATTTAATTGCTTTATTATTCCCGTCAAAAAAAAATTTGTAATAACCTAAAGTATTGCAAATAAAAGAGTGAGTAAATTTAAATACCTGGGATCGTGGCTTTTTGAAGACTGAGCATCGGACAGGGAAGTAAAATGTCGCATTGAGCAAGCTCGACAAGCTTTCGTAAAATCCAAGAAGGTACTGACTTGTTCAGAGTTCGATCTTCAACTGAGTCTAAGGTTTACTAAGTGCTACGTATGGTCAGTGCTGCTATATGGCGTAGACGGCTTGACACTCAAAACGAGGGATATAAACAGATTAGAAGCTTTCGAAATGTGGCTTTATCGCCGTATCCTAAAAATTCATGGACAGCGAAAATCACAAATATAGATGTCCTTAAAAGAATAAACCAAGAACGCCAACTTTTCGAAACCATCAAGAAAAGGAAAACGGCGTATCTAGGTCACATCATGTGAAATGAAAAATACCAGTTCCTCCAACTTATAATCGAGGGTAAAATTGAAGGCAAGAGAGGAATGGGACGCAAGAAAATGTCCTGGCTCCGAAACATAAGGCAATGGACAGGGATTAACGACATACAATCTCTGATACATATTGCAAGAATAGAGAATTAATGGAAAATGTGATCGCTAACATCCATTAGTGGATTTGCATCTGAAGAAGAAGAAGAAGAATTGCGAATAAGTTTCAACATATGTGGAGGGTCAAATATTACATATATTGGTTGATTTGTTGCTGGATGTAAAAAATATACTTTATTGGAATTAATCGATAAATCAACTCCCAAGTTGTTTAACCATGCTAATATTTGATGCTGCCCCATCAAATGTTAGACTGGTAATTGTGACATCAGCTTCGAGCATTATTTTTAAGCACATTTTTATTAGATTACTTTTTTGAACACCTGATAACCCAGCGATTAAAAAGTTGCCTATCGGCAGCTTCCATGAATCATTTAAACTATTAATAAATTAAGAATACAATTGCTTCTTTTGCTTTAATTTCGGAAGAATCGTTTTGAGGTTTACTTCCTATGTCAACATACCTAAAATTAATATTTTTAATTATTTAAATAGAAAATATAATGGTATGATACTTTTTGTAATTGCTAATAAATATTAAGCTACACTTACCCTAAAAACCTTTCACCATCCCATTCTATTTTCTGGTGTATAGACATTTCATCGACCATCAAAGCACAGATACATGATTTTACTTTATTTCTAAGTTTAACTACTTTTTGTTTTAATACATTCACTGCTTCTTTTTGAAATCCATGCTCACAAGCTACTACTTGATACCACTTTTGAAGAGTTCGTGGATGAGGTAACATGTTAGGAAAAGTTTTTCTCACATACAAGTAAGCTTTTGGCGAATAGAAATTAAGAGCTTTTTAACTCCGCTGGATATGTTTTAGTGCTCTTAGATTTAAGTAGTTGCTTAAAGATAGTTTTTGCAGAAGCATGCATCGTATCATAATAAAATAAAATGTAATAATCAAACTTGATCGACTAACTACAAATAATATAAAATAAACTGTTATACATGCCAAAGCTAAACAGATCACTAATAAGAAGTATTATTAATTTTCCTTACCGAAAGTTTTATAGAGAAATCTTCATCGATCATCTGTTTTTCTTTAAGATGTTCTAATAAAGATTTTAAGGTATTTACTTTTTTAATAAGCCTTCTGTTTCGTTGTCGCAACATTTTGATTTGTTGTTTTTCTTTTGAATTAATTTGTTTACTACTACTTTATACCCCTGGTCTCCGTTAGATGATCCTTGTTCAAAGTCACCAAGATAATGTTTTCGCTTTTTCAAGGGAGGTTCTAAGGTAGTTTTGTCTGAAATTTATACTGAAGTCTTTATGGTGGCAGATTCACTCATTATTTTTATATTTTCCCTTTTAGATCCCGTTGGTTTGAATGAAATAGTTTCTGTTTTTTTGTAAATTTTCTAGTTGTAACTTGCTTAATTAAATAGTTTGGAAAATCGAAAATTTTTAGTTGTTTTTTTGAACTTCAACCGCTAGTAATATACTAATCCGCTGTGAAATGTTTGGAGCAAATTTTAGAACTCTTTGTTGGTTTAAAATTTTCACGGCGCATCGCTATAATCCATTTTTTTTGCAATGATGAATCTTTAGGAAACCTAAAACAATTTATTTACTTAATCCTTTAGTTTTCAATCTAATTATGAAATAAAAATTATATATAAGACTCTCTATCTCATATGCATCTATTGTAAACACTTTGGGAGGAAAAAGTAAAATAATAGGTGCTAAATTTCTGGTATGTTTTTTAAGTTTAATTTGTGAGTTTACTTACCCATGAAATGGTGTATCTGTCCCTTTTTTTGTCGCTGCGTACAATTAAATGCACTGCAAGATGTCACCATAATTAAAATATTAATGTATTGGAAAATTTTTAAATTAAAAAGTTTACAACGCGTATAAACACTTCTAATCTCTACCATTTCTGCCGCAAACTGACGTCACACACAGCTGTGTGAATCGTTTTATGTTGGCTTCACTCCTCGAGACGAGAGAATAGCATTACGGCGCGTCTATCAGTTTTTATGGTCTAAGCTTTTTTCCTACAACATCTTAGGCAACCTGCAATCTTCTTAACGTTCTAAGCGTTATGACTCAAGTCATAACGCTGTTATGACTTGAGTTTAGTTGATAAGATATTCTCGTTCTGGAAACGAAAATTATTATGAAAAACTTATTATAAATAAATATGTTTATATAAATTAAGAACCGCTCGTTTTATTTAAAAACGGTAGATTATAATAACAATTATTTTACGCCACTTTTTAAAAGGCAATACACAACTTTGCAACTGTCATTGTTCCATCACCTCAAAACACAAAAGAAGGAAATACTCACTTTACTCACTTGTAATTATTGCACAAGAAACACAAAGGTACCAAGTGCTTCATCAATCAGTGTGCAAGATTCCTTCACTTTAGCTATACTTACCACTTTCGTTAGGTACCACTTAGCTAATTTAAAATTGTAGTAATAACTGTTTTTACTGTCTTACTTTACTTTATTATACACAAAAGTATTTTACATTATTCGAAATTTGTGTGAAACTTTTTATACTTTTAATTTCAGATCTAGGTCAAGCTTGCGAGTCGAATCCAGAATGTATTAACAAATTTTCAAGTTGCAAAAATTCGGTATGCACCTGTAACGATAAATATGTTGCAAGCTTAAAAAACGAGTCAACATGTCTTCTAAAAGCAGAAAATAATAACAGTCCTTGTGTAGATGATATACAGTGCACATCAACCCTTGGCAAATCTTCCCAATGTGAGGACAGTGTTTGTAAATGTAAAACCTTTTTCCATTATAAGGAGAAATTAAATAAATGTGTAGAAAATATTCGTAAGTATAACTTTTCTATATTCGTAAAAGCTTATTTATATTTACTTTTTAAATCTCTGACCGTCATTGCATCTTCAACATCTTCTCTCCATGACCGTCTTGGTCTACTTTGTTTTCTTCTAGTGGGCGGAGTCCGTTATTCTATCTTTTTTGGCCATCTATTTTTAGGCATTCTCTGCAGGTGTCCATACCTGTTTAGTTTTTTGGCTTCGATAGTATCTATTATGTCTAGGTCAATTTCCATTTTTGTCCTAATGTCTACATTCCTCACCCTATCAAGTCTAGTGTGCCGGCAACATCGTCTCCAATAGTCCATTTCCATTACCTTAAATTTTTATTTGTTTTTTTTTATTGATTTCATAACTTTCCACGTCATACTTTCTATTATTGTTTTATAAATTCTTTTTTTATTTTATTTTATTATTTTATTATTCCACAACAGTCCGTGTAGCTGTCTAATGAGTGATCTTGCTTGGCCAATCCTAGAATGTATTTCTTCGTTACTCCCTGCTCTTGATGTTATTTGGACTGCCAAGTATTTAAAGGTTTCAGTTGATTTTATAGTTCCCATTTCGATTTGTAGGATTTCTAATTTTTCTTCTGTAACTGAATGCTCGGTTTTTTGTATATTAAGTGTAAGGCCCCACTTAGTGTACTCCTCCTCCAGTTCTCTAATCTATCTATTTCTATATAGTCTATATCGCTCTTGTCTTCAGCTAGAATGGCTTGGTCGTCAGCAAAGTGCAATCTCTCGTCTTCGATTGGAATGCCCATATTGCAGCATTTCTTTCTCCACACTGAGAGCGCTTTATTCAGATATATTTTGAAGAGTGGAGGTGTTATGCAGCAGCCTTGTTTAAGACCCTTGCTAATATGAATTTTTCTAGTTAATTTGTATCCAGTTTTAATGTTTACGGTCAAATATAGCTGTTGTACTGCTTATATATATTTTTTTCATTTATTCCTTGTTTTTCCATTGCTACCCAGAGCTAGTCAGATCTATAAAGACTACATGAGCTGAAAGATTGTGGACTAATCTTTTTTCAATAACCTTCTTTAGAGAGAATATGTTGTCTATATAGGATCTGCCTGCACGAAAGCCATTCTTCTACATTTGTTATCTCTTTTTAAAATAAAAAAAACGAGTGTGAGAAGTTATACTTCTATACACGCGTTCGCCGTTACAAATTTATATTGGAGTCAATGTAATATGTAATGCTATATGTAAGACAGAGCAGAAAGAGAAAAAAAATTAGTTATATCGATAAATGGTGCATCTCTCTCACTCATTATCTTACATATGTAATGGTTCCACAGATTCACTGCCATGCAAATTTCCAACGCCGACCGTGCGTATAGAAGTATAACTTCAAAAAAAATTCTTGTAATTTATTCATTATTTAGAAACTTGATTCAATTTATTTACTAATTATTTTGGAAGTTCTTTTAATTTATTCATAAAGGTCATTACAACAAACCACCTATAAAGAATTACGTGGAAGTTGAAATTTAGATGTTGTGCGTTTTATAGGCAAAGCTGTCAGTTCTTTTCTGAAAATTTATTCGAAATTTTTTATAAAAATATTAAATGAACAAACATAACAAGCCATTTTATTTTTTTAGTATTTGTATAAGATATTTCTAAACTCAAAAAAGAGCAACTTAATGTCATAATCACATAATAATGCTTAATAATTTTCGTTTGATTAAAAAAACAGGTGTGGCATACCAGTGGGACTGCCGGTAGAAGTTACACTTCTATACACGTGTTCGCCGTTTACAAATTTTTATAGGAGTCAATCTGCACAATCATTGTATATATGTAATGCTATAGGTAAGACAAGAAGTAGAGCAGAAAGAGAAAAAAAATTAGTTATATAGGTATATGGTGTATCGCTTGCTGTATATAAACATTTGACCTGTAATAGGAGTATAGTAAATGAAGGATTGTATCAATACTTTAATGAAATATATATTTTATTTTCATATATGTATAAAAGGAGTTGAATGCAAAAACATTTTTTACACATACTCTACCGTAAAATTCATTGTTTATTTTGTTATTAATATAAAAATTACAATACAATAAATACACTGCAATATAATTCAATACAATAATACAATATAAATTAAAATGCAATATTCATAAGTATTTAAAGCTGCCAATATACATAACTTACTTTACGAAGATAAAAATAAAAAACCAACAACTCGGATTATATTGTAAATTTTCATTTTATTTTAAAATTTAGCATTTTTGCATATATTACATATATTTAATAAGATTAACGTGGGGTTTTTAAATATTTCAAAAACAAAAAGGAAAAATTCATATTGGATTCGAACTCACAAACACCAGCGTATAAACCAAACAAGTAAAAGATTAGCCAATTAGACATTACACTAACGGATTTAAAAATTGACAGTTCTCGGTCAAACAGTGTATATTTTGAAATACAAAAGCATAAAATAATTATAAACGTTTAATAAATAATACAAAACATATCACATAAATATTAATTAATTACTATTTAACTGGGAATAAACCACAATTAAAGATAAAAATACGTTTATTGACGTTTCAATTTCCACTTCGGAAATCGTTCTCAAAATACAAACAGTAAATAAATAATAATATTAATACATATATAATATTATATATATATATATATATATATATTTACGGCATAAAGTGGACTCCGCCCATGTTAAAATTCAGGTTCAGGTGAGCTCCGTGGTCAAGTGGACACCGATATACGGAGCTCACTTGACCATTCCATAATATTGGCTCTGTCGATTCATCAACATGTATAGTTTCATAATTTAAAAAAAAAAATTGGAGCCCATAATTATCCCTGTATCATAAATGTATATCGCTTAGTTCACGTGTATATATTATAGGGGTCGTTCAGATCTTTTTCACTGTATATTGGAACCATACGTATATCGGTTTAAGTAAGCTCTGATAGTTTGGCAACTCTGCTATAAGATGTATAATTATCGCGTAAAGTCTGGACGGTTTATATGGACTCCTTAGTTTTGTTATCATTCATACTCATTACAGTGTGTAACAGATATGTATACTATTAACTACCTGTTTTTGGTAGGTACAAGTTCTCTAAAAATAGCTTTATAGATACAAAAGGATTTCATTACCAAATTGGATTTTGTTTCATATGCGGAAATTTCCTAATGTATTTTGTTAACGTGAATATGTCTTCATAAGTTTTATTTAAGAATCCGATTAATAAGAACTTCTTTTATTTCATCCATTGTTTTATGATATCTTGTATACAGCTTTTTTATTATTTTATTTCTGGTTTTATCTATGTACTACATATAAGTTTGGATAAAAGGTTATCTCAAAATAAATATTTAAGTGCTAAAATAGATATTTTTGTGTAAAAATGGGTAGTAGTGCACAAAAAAAGAAAGAATTTATCTAACAAGCATTATACTACTTCTCCAATATTACATACTTCTAAATGTTTATTTTCTATTTAGGGTAATATGTTATCAATATAAGTGGAGTTAGTTTCAAATTTGCAATGATCTTTATAAGTAAAAGCTTACTGGCTATACTTAACATGTTTAGTTCAAATAAATAAACCTTGTCCCTTCAGAAAAGAGCGATTTGAATGGAAAAGTCAACTAAGAAAGTGTGATGAATCTTATACCACCCCACATTCACACAGGTTAACCGGTGTTTGCAGGCAAGAGTCCTCCAGGCAAATTTAAGGAAGATAACAACCATAAGGAAGTTCCTTTCAAGGGTTGAGATGGCGAGAAGCAGCTTATATTTTTTTTGTATATCTTGCAGATGTGATGATCTGATGACTGACTAATTTAGAGCTAAATATACTTACGTGTTAAGTATGTGTTTTTGTCACCCATACTAGCAAGGTATATTCGGCAGCATAAGCATAGAGTTTAAGTCTACGCTTTAAGGGTGGAAGAATGTGCTTCCTATTTTGAGCTGACAAGTTGGCGGAGAATATTATTTTTCTGGTTCTAGGTTGCCATTTAGTTTTAAACAAAGTTTTGTGATATAAACTATCTTCAAGGTATTTATAGCAAGTCCAGAGTTTAAGGATTTCATGACACTATTGGTTCAGGTATATCTTCAGATTTGTGAAAGCGTCTCTATTAGGGACATTTCCGGGTTTGGCTTAAAATTGATTTATAATCTATTTTTATTATTTCTAATCCTATTCCTATTACTACTTAAAACTAAACGTTTGTCATCATTGTCCGGTTTATTTAGTAATTCTTCTTTCTCTATTCGTTGCTTGGCCTCTCCTTGGTTCTTTTTATGTTGCTCTGGTAGTTTTTTTAACACGCTATTTCCAACACCTTTTCTTCTTTATAGCACCATCTCCATTCCTTGCCGTCCACTGTGATTTTATTGTATCCTATTTTGACCATTTTTCCATTTTCCCTCATTTCTCTTGCTTTATCTCTTAAAGCTTCCATTTTCTCTCTCTCCTTTTGTGAGATCCTCTGTAATCCATATTTTTTCGATCTTCACATTCTTAAGTTTGTATTTGTTTGTATTTTGTCTTAAGATTGTTGTTTTTTTTTCTTCGCTTTCAAGTTCAATTAAGCATGTTTTTGTTCCTATTTTTTGTGCTCTTTTAATATTGGTTTTGACTCCAAGATGATTTTCTAATATAGTAGGCATTCCCTCTTTCAATGTTTTTGGGTCTTCAGAGTCTATTTTTTATCCACTGATGATTATATTCTTTTTTCTTTGTCTAACCTTTCTAATGAGCGTTTTAGATCATTTAATTCTTCCGTTATCTTTTCGTTATCGGTTTTGGTTAGTTCGTTTTCCCTTTTCAGTTCTTCTTTTTCTTTTGTCCATTCTTCCTTCACCCGTTCTATTTCCAGTTTTATGCTTTTTATTTCTTCGTTATTTTGTTTTATCTCTTCTTTAACTTCATTTATATATCTTCTCATCTCCTTATTTTCTTCCTTCATTTCTGTTTTCAGCTCTTTTA